AGGAAGGGGGAGGAGCGCCAGGGGTACTTACCTGGCTATGGTGGCAGCCATCTTCATCACCTTGGTGGGCGCTGCAGCAAGGAGTCCCCAGTCGGGGAGAGTCACACCAAGAAGCTTCAAGGCAGGGTTGGGCATGGCGGCCTGAGCTAGAGAAGCCATAGCTGCTTTGGGTTGTCCTTTGGGCATCTGGGCAAGGCCTACCGCCATAGCCTCGGCCTATGAGAGTGAAGAATGGGAGACACGGCCATGGCTATGGTGGACCTTGAGTGATACCTGCAGTAGAAGAGGGACTCGGACATTGATTCTGGACCAGTCATTCAACATTGTATTATTATTTCCTGTATGAATAAGGGAAGAGGGAGATGAGGAGGAGGAGGTTGTTGGGCGAAGAAGAAGAGCCTTGTCATTGTCTATGCTGGTGTACATCTTCTTTTTCTTTCTTTCTTCTTCTTCTTCTTCTAATCCTCTCTCTCCTCTCAAGTTCATTCATTTCTTTCTGCAATCGGATGGCATTGTACTTTCCGGTGGATGTGTATCTCGAAATTGGCCAGGGTCATAACATTGGTATCGGAGCGGATTCTACTTGCTGGTGAGAGTTGACTTTGCTGCCCTAACCCTAACCTAAGTGGTTGAGGGCAACACTTAAGGTTAGGGTTGGTTGGTTGAGGGAAGTGGGGCAGCGTGGCTAAGGGAAACTGCCCCCACCTGGTTAGGTCATGTGGGGTCAACATAGAACCTAACCAGGTTGCTTGAGAGTGAGATTAGGGTGGCGAGACATTTCGAGGAGACTTCATGCGGCGATTTGAGAGAGGCGACAGTGAGAGGCACTCGCACCTGGAATCTGATTCAAGGGAGACACTTTACAACTTAAGGGTTGCCCTCAAGTAGGCGAGCTTGAGGGTCAGCGACCACTCTGCATCAACGGACTGCAAGTTGCTACTTCTTCATCATCGACGGGGGATCCGGCGTTGCACTTGGGTGTTGGAGTCAGACCCTCCTAGGGGATAGGACACTAGTGTAGGGGTAGCGTTAGAGGGGTCAGGAGGACCACATGAGAAGGGGGGTGAGTTCTATTCATCTCGAAGCTCAAGGCCACTCAGGTAAGTGTCGTGCACCTACGGGATGCCGATGTATGTGTGAATGGTATTGATTGTCCTGTTGGGGTACTCTGGGTTTCTTTTCCTACTCCTCTGTGGTCTTGATTGTGTGACTGAATGCATGTGGTCTACCTACTCACCTGATGGATGGAAAATGAAGTATCTTGATCTAAATGTCGAGTCTTTCTACAGTGCTTTGTCTTTTCATCTCTGAACGGTTGTAGTCTGTAGGTTCTGCCAGAAGTTGAAATTTCGTTTTTCAATACAATAGAGACTGAACCAGGTTCATGTGAAACTCCTCTTGGTTGGGACCTGGTTGAGACCTACGTGGGACCTCTGGGACCCAGCAGGACCGGGCCCAAACAAGAAGAGCCTCTGGACCCAAATCGATTAGGCATTGACCTCTTGTTTTCTTGGCTGGGATACGAGTTCATTCTTCTTGGGTTAGGATACCCACTGCCGAGGGGATCTTGGCTGAGACGTTTCGCATGTCTTCTGATTGCACTGTCCGTGGCTTGACTCACACCGTGTACACCACTCAATTCTCCATTGTTGCGTTTAGTTACTCGTAGTCTGATTTGCTGTACGGTCACGGAGCTGGTCAGACTGGACTCGAGAGGACCTCGTATGCAGGCTGATCAGACTGGGTCGCTGGATCAGACCTCTCATTTGTAGTTGTTTGTTTTTCTTTAGTTTGTTGCTCTCTACTTCCAAATGAAATGTCGCTCCGGCTAGGAGTTCTACCTTCTCTTCTCCGTGCTTTTCAATTTGATTCTATGAGTTCATTTCCGATGCCCATGGAGACTCGCCACCAGAACGAAGAGAGAGAGAGGAGGGAGAGCGAAAGGGAGAGAGGGAAAGTGACCGTCTGAAGTGGGCAAGGACTGGGAAAAGGAGTGTTCGTCCAAGTGAGAAGGGGAGTGAACCTCTTGAGAGTCTAATTGATTCTTTTGCTGACTGGCGACTCTCTGACCCACCTATCCATACTGACAGTCCGAAAATGGCTCAGCTAACTTCAGTGCAATGGCGGGCCTTGTTAGATGCAGCCAGTGATGCCGAGAAACCATATCTACAAGCACTTTTAGATAGTGCAATTAAAAGGGAACAAGAGGCAGAGAAGGAGAGGAAGGAGACCTTGCTGAAAAGGCAAGTGGCCATCCTAGAGACTGTTCCCTCACTGACTGAAGAGCAGTGTGGGGAACAGTTGCAGCCCATACTCACAACCCTTGTTCAAGTTAGGAATCTTGAGGATCATACCACTCAGATCTTTGCAAAGTTGCAGACACTTCAAGATGATCTGACTGATATGACCCGTAAGTACCATGAATTGACAAAGGAGGTGGCTGAGCTGCGACAAGCCCAAGTGGCCAACCCTCTTCCTCTACCCCCTGGATCTGAAGCTGCAATCGAAACTACCTCTGCCCCTCTCACCGTATCTGCTTCTACCTCTTCTTCGAGTGTGATGGCAACCCCCTCGGGACCTGCGGCAGGTGCAGATTCCGTTGCTGTTGTGATCAACATTGAGGCAGGGAATTCTGCGACTGCTGTAGCCCCAAGATCAGAACCAGTTGTTGCTGGTCCCAGCTACGCCGGTCCCTATGTGGACCAAAAGGCGGTACAAATGTCGTCTAAGTATGACGGCAAGGAAGACATCGAGTCCTGGATCGGCTCCATGAGGGCCTACTTTGAGATTCTGGGGACTCAACCTGAGACCCAGGCGGTGATCATGGGAATGAATGTCGTGCCCGGTCGTACGGGGCTTCCTAGAAGTCCAAGCGACGCGGGCTGGGTTCCAAAAGACCGCACTAGCCAAATGGCCTAGGACCACCCCGGTTGCCTCCCTCGAGGATCTCCTTATCTCACAATATCAGGATCCACATGCTGCGACTAGGGCGAGAATCCAACTTGACAAAGTCAAGCGTAGCAAGAGGACGGGCTCCATGAAAAGCCTGCAGACCTATCTGAGCAAGATGTTTGCTACTCCTGGTTTGGAATTGACTGCTCAGTCTTGCTTAGATGTGGTTAAGGGCACGGTTACAACTAACTTCACTAATGGCCTGGGCAGGGACTACATTGCATACACTGACTGGCTCACCTTAATGAAGGACATAGTCAGTTTGGAGGTTGTAGACCTCGTTAGCACAGCAGGCAGCAAAAAGCCCATGAATGGCTGAACCAGAATCAATGTCTGAATCCCTCTTCTACTGTAGGCACAACATGAGGCCCACCATAGCCATAGCCACCCTTCTCCTTCCTCTCACATGTAGGCTGAGGCTATGGCAAACTACTGAGGGTTCAACCCTCCTGTCCAAAGGACAACCCAAAGCAGCTATGTCGCGGCTTTCCTGTGCAAAGGACAACGCAAAGCAACTATGTCGCTGCTCATTAGGCCGCCATGCCTGTCTCTCCCCCGAGCTTCCTTGGTGCGGCACTACCCAAACGGGGGCCTTCCAGATGCAGCGCCTAACAAGGTGATGAAGATGGTGTCCACCATAGCCAGGTAGGTACCTCGCCACTCTCCTCCTTACTCCCCTTCTCCCTCCTCCTCCTACCGGTAGAGCTCCACCATAGCCAAGGTGGAAGCTCCCGGCTTCTTCCTCCCAGCAGCGCTGAAGTAGCCAGCGCTCCTCCAGCCAGCGCTCCAACAGCGTGTCGCCAAACTTGCAAACTGAAGAATGAGGCCGGGCTCTTCCCTCGGCCTCTTGATATAGCGGCCTACTTGCCTCCTGGGCTGTGACTTCCAGGCCGCTCGGCCTCCCAAGCAACCGGTACCTCCTCCCTTTCGGAGGGAAACATCATTGCAGGATATTGCCTGTACAGGCTCTAGACTCAGACTGGATGGACTGGTACCGGCCTAGACCTAGCCTACCGCTACTGGAACTCTAAGAATGCCAACTTTGTCTTCTTCTGCTCGGCCTCGAGTACCCGGCACATCTCCTGCTATTGGGTGCGGTACCGGCCTACCTGCTACTTGAGTGTTTTTCCGCTGCTCTAAGTGCCGTGGGCCTCTGGCTCCGCCACTTGAGTGTTTTCCCCTGCTGCAACCCTCAATGCCACGGCCACAGGTAAGTACCGGCCCTACGGGCTTGCCAAACAAGCAAGTACCCTTGCGGCTCACACACACACTCATGCCGACAAGCACTCAGACAGGCATGCAGGTCAACAAACACGCACACATACAGACTTAGAAAACTCAGCAGAGTGTGGGAATCTCAGCAAGGCATCCATTCCATCGGCAGAACTTCAGAAATCAGCAGTGTTCTCAGTCTGTGTTAAGGCGGGTCATTACATGTGTGATCTTTGACTACTTCTTCCACCTTCTCCCTTGTCTATCCTCCCTCCACTCTCTTCGCCTATTGGTAACGAGATACTGTTGCAGATATCATTTTCGCGTTAACTGGAGACTTTGTACAGATCTGAGACTACTGGAACTTCGACGTCTGATGAATATCCTCCTGACTGGGTTCATTACACTATCCTCCTGACTGTTACCTTTCTTTTCTGTTCTTTTCCCCTATCTTCCATGCCCCTCGTTGTGATTCAGTAGCACTTTATTTTTGCTGTTGGTTTGGTTCTGTTTTGTTTTTGTTTTTGGAGAAAATTGCAGCCTTATGGTATTTGCCCAGTTTTGCTGCTATTCAGCACGTATCTACATAGTACAGTGCATCCCCTTGAAAAAAAAAAAAAAAAAAAAAAAAAAAAAATCAGGTTCTAATGGGACCGGCTCCACGTCCATTCCCCTTGCATTTCTCTGTGCAGGGAGTGGAGTGTTTCAGGCAAGAGGTGGAGAAGCGAATGCTCCCAAGCAAGGTCCTTGAACGAGCAGCGCCTGAAGACTTGATCAACCAGTCGTGGAAAAGAAGGGACTATTTTGGCGTTCATCCTCAAAAACAGCAAGGCCTTAGCTACGTTGGAATACACATTCCAGTAGGCCGTCTGCAGGTGTGTCAGAACTTCTCACAACCCAGTAATCAACATCCAATTCATTTGATTGTCGCTGAACTCGAACTTGGGTCTGTATTTCAGCAGTTCATGGGTGTACTAACTGAGCTAGGCCCGCTGGTTCAGTATCGACCACCTCCCTTTCTTTCAAAACAGGAAAAAGAAAAAAGAGCTATTCAGTACATCTTATCCTTTGGGACAACCCTTAGAACTGGAATGATACACAGAAGATTAGGATGGCCACTGTGCAAGGATGATCAGCATAAATCGAGAAACGGCCTAAAAAAGAAGAAAAAGAGTCGGTACACTGACCAGCGACGAAGGCGATGGAACAATACACAGAGAGAAGATTAGCATGGCCCCTGCACAAGAATCACGCATAAATCAAGAAATGGTCGAAATAAACAAAGAAAAACGAATCAGTGCATCAGAGATGAAAATGACAAGTGCTGGACACTGCCAAAGACAAGGGCGATCAATGGGGAGGTAGGCTGGAAAAAGGAGTCTGGAAAATTCAATATTTGTGCAATGATGAGACAAATGAGTGGAAATCGGGGAAGGCGTCAAGACAAAAGGTGAAGGGGTGTCATACCCTTAGTAACATACTTGTGGCATGCGGCGGATGCGCACATTTTTTTTGGCGGGGTGTGTGTGTGTATACAAAGGCGCGCGCTCGAGAGAGAGAGAGCACAAGTGAAAGCCCCTTTCATGTATATCAGGAGGCCCCTGTATGTAATATGAAGGGTCCCTGCAGCAAACCAGCAAGGCCCCATAAGCGAGCACCGATGAGCATCAAACTTGCAATCAAGTGGAAGAGGGCCAACATTATATGTTCTAGATTCAAATTGAGGTCTCTGTTTCAACAGTTACGGGTTGCTTACTTAGCTAGGCCATGCTGCACGTGATTCTCAGGACTTTGCTCCACTACTCACTAAATGTGCAATTTAGAATGAATCTTCTCCTAGAACATCAAACCACACTAAATGTGCAATTTAGAATGAATCTTCTCCTAGAACATCAAACCACACTAAATGTGCAATTTAGAATGAATCTTCTCCTAGAACATACAACCATACGTGGCCATATGTTTTGTCTTTTGAACATGTGGTGAATAGTGGACTGAGGCCCTTATGGCCACTGCACGTGTTGAACTCGAGATACCGGGCCATTACCCGGCTTCGGCTAAGAATATGGTGGGACCTAAGTTGGCAACAAGAAAAATTCAGAATCATACCGTCACGAAC